ATACTTTGGAAAGAACTAGACAATAAATACCCTACAAAAGACAATATTTCTATTGCACAGAAAGCAATCATATAAAGATCAGGAGAGCAGTTTCAATGCTGAGTGTCAGTCTACTGTAAGAAGACATTTATTGTTTTTCTGACTTATCACAGAGGAGTGAGATAAGCTATAATGATATTCTGAGCCAACCCAATCATGCTATCGAACTACACATCCACCTTTTAAAAATCACTTTTATACTTTGCAAATAAAAAAATAAAAATAAACCTCTTGCAGGTGTAAGGAGAGGTGGGGAAGGAGATCCATTAAGGAAAGCAGGTGCCTGACGTGGGGCCACACCAAGGCACCGGGGCCTCCTCCCTGCACCCTGCACGCAGCAGCCAGGCTCCAGCGGCACCAGGTGCCACGGCAGCACCACCTGCCTCAACAGCATCCTCAAGGCAGAGAAAACTCACATCTCAAAATGCAATCGGGACAGGTAATTTTAGAACTTTGTTTATCTTTGTCCAAAGCAAATTTGAGCAATAAAACAGGTACTTAGGAAAATTTTGTTTTCTGTTTCTGCACACCATACGTTTCATCATTATTCCAATAATCAGCATGGAATATGGCAAATAGTTTGTATTTTTTGTACAAGGGAAGAGATAAGCCCTTTACAGGAAAAGATCAGATGGCAGTCTAAGTGAACATGGCTATTAATAATGAACCCAGTCCAGAAGGGAACCATAAATCATACTTAGCACCGCTCACTGTATTCCTGGAAAGATGAATCTAACAGACTGTCTTGCAGCAGAAGAAAGGAAATGACATTAAACAGCTGCTCATTATTGTCAAGGACTGAAACACAATGAAATTAACTCAGTTATGAGCACTCCTAAACACTGCCATGTGCCTAGAGGGCTTGAGATATGCAGTACAAAATATGTTGTTTTTCCTCTAATGTAAACACTTTCTTCACAGGATCTAAACAGAGGTGCTTGGAGGGCACCTTCTACAAGAAGGGCACATGGATTCTAGGAACTTCATCAGGGATCTGAGAATGGACAATGTCAAAATGAAAATCAGTTTCACACTTAAGGAATGACCTGTCCCCTTCCTGCCTGCTGCAGATCTGCTCTTGGCTGGCGTTAAGGAAGGAATTCTCCACCTCGGCAGATCCTGATGAGCTTGGGCACTGAGCACCAGAAATTCCTTCTAGGGAGGACTTAAACTAAAGGAAAATTGTTACCTGAATTAGAGGTGCAAAATCAGGTAAGAAGTGTGTGTCAGATGCATGCAGTGATAGAAGTCTTCTCATGAAAGGGCAAGTGTGAATGGCAGGTGACACCTCCAACCTGGAAAGGTGGACGAAAGTGGACAGACATATTCACGGTGTCGTCAACCATAATTCTGTTTTAAAAGAGGGGTTGGGAGGCAGGATGGATATTAGAAAACAACACCATTAATCTAAATCTCTTTGCCAAAACTCACTTGTGTATAGAACGACCTAACAAGGGAGATCAAGTCAGTATCAGTCCATGAAAGGCAACCCAAAGTGTTTTGTAAATCCTTTTTCTGACATTGAGAGGGACTGTGAAACGCATTGGCACCAGGATGTGATGTACAGCTCTCCTGTCTGCTTGATGGATTGGTGGATTGTGAGACACTGTGACAAATTATCTTCATCTTCTGGGTGCAGATTAATTTTCTAGGTCATTTAATAAATTACTGAAAAAAAGTATTTAAGGAGCAACATCTCAAATGGATTTCCAGTGATGTGATACCTCTCCCTCAAAATCTTGTTGGATTTATCAGACTAGATGGCTTCTTTGCTGCCATTTTTTGCAAAATGATTATAATTCCATAAACACAATATTTTTTTACCTAGTTTTGCACATGGAAGTTGGGTTTGATACAGCGGGAAAACAAAACACCTCCAAAAGATGAATGTGACCCTGGTACAAACTCTTCTGTAAGGTAACAGCATTTGATTAATTCCCATTAGAATAACACCAAAACATGCATCATAACCAGCACTACATTTAAATCCAAGTGCTAAGTTGGCAGTAGGATTCTGTAGCTCTGCACAGATGCATCCTTCCATTTTATTAAGCTGCAAAAAATGACACCTAGTCAAAGCACTGAGCAGAGCACTCCGCCACTCACATCCCCTGCGTCCTTGGCAAGTTGCATAGCATCATTCCAGGCCCTGCTTTCAAAGGTAGGCACCTGGATTTACATAGTTCTACATAGGATTTAGAGATGTACAGGTAAAGCAGCTGTATCTCTGAACATCTTGAGAGGAAAAGAGAACCTACTTCAGTGTTACTGGAAAAAACACTCCTTGAACCTGTAGCTGTTCAGCTTGTCTCCAGTCTCAGCTTCACGTGTAAGATGGGAACCCCTGCTAACACATTCACAGCTGCTGCCAACGCACCTGGAATCTTATGGTCATGGAAGACAGAAGGGACAGCAAATCAAGTGTCTCATTTTTCATGTGCTGCCTTCAATCTGCCCTGTGAAAATGCAGCATTCTGCATTCCACCAGATACTGAACTCCAGCCAGCACCAACCTCACTGTGTATTTGTTGCTAAGAATGTCTCTCAGCTCCTCATGCTACCAGTAAGCCAAAATGATACACTGCAAAGCCTAGGCTTTGCAAGAGAAATATTTTACTTGATCTGCTTTCCAAAGAATAACTATAGTTTGTTTCTGATTGAACAATGATCTGTACTCTTATGGGGCTAGAGAAATTTGGTTTCTAAGGGAATTCAACAGCAGCTCTACTAGTTTATGGAAGAACAGAAAAGGCACTTAAGGGGATTTTGTTTGTCACTTGAAAATGTGCCTAGAGAAAACAGAATCTTCTAATCAAATTTAATTAAAAATTGATGAACGAAAAGCCTTGTGTAGTTGTATTCTTATAGAACAAGAATGTAGAACAATGCCAATAAGCAGTAAGAATAAAACAAGAGATTAAGAATTAAAGCCCAAACAAAAACAGGCTATATAAAACTCCATTGTAATCCAATGGCGCTAGCAGTCTCTCATGGGAACAGAATCTACTCCATTATGCTCAGTAGGAATTTGGAAAGTAGCATACCAGGGGTGTCTAAAATAATTAGCCATGGCTGATCTGATTTCCTCATAGAAAATGGATATTTAATAGTTTCATTTGCTGACAGGAATCCATTTATGGAATGGCACTTAAAATATATCTTTTAAAGGAAAAAAAAGCAGCTTTATATTTAAAAAACCCTACAAATTTACCCAGAAAAAAAAAAAGATGATACAAAAAAAAAAAAAAAACACACAAAAACAAACAAACAAAAAAAACCCCAAGATCCATTAGCTGGATATTCTATGTTACTTTGCACTCTTAGGTCCCTGCAGAACAAAAATGATTCAGGTATATAATAATAATATGCTGTCTCTGCACTGCATACCATAAAGGTAATACACTGACACACATAGAATCTGCAGAGGTTCTTCCCGCTCACTAACCTCCTCTTGCTGCCTCTCATACAGCTCTTTGACCAACTGTGAAATACAGCAAACCCATTTCCTCTACCTACCATATTTTTTTCATGATTGTCTCTTTCAAAAAGCACAAACTGAAAATGAGATGCAGTTCTAGTGGCCTTTTTCAAGCTACATTGAGGATAAAAGTAGTACGACTCCCTAGATAAATATATAGTTCATTAAAAGTGTTCTGGATCACTGTATTCTACTGACCAAAAGTCTAAATCCCACATTAGTGACATTTAGGAGCTACACTGTGGTCCGAGCTACGTGAGCAAACACCCACGGGAGAACAAGGCAAGCCTCGGTGTCCCTCCTGGGAAGCTACTGGCAGGATCTCCAACCGTGGGACACACACAGCCCAGGGCACAGCTGCACCCTGGGGCTGGGGGGCTGCCCACATCTTAGTGGGTGATCCAGCCTGTCCCATCTTGCTAGAGAAACACACTGATTTTACAGTCCCTGTGTGAACCATGACCCTCTTTTGCTATTCTTTCATTCCTTCTTTTTCCTTACTGTCATCCTGCAGTTGATTAAGGAACCTACACCTTTCCTTAATTGGATATTTTGGTTTATGCTTCTGCTTCTTTGTATTTAAACAGGAGAGCCTGCAGCTGTAGAAACTGCTGCATTCATTCAGGTATGTTTGCAATTAGACAAGAGATTTACTAAATCAAAAGCAGGAAAGTGCATGTTTTCAGCTGTTTCTTCCTCCCCCTTCCTCTCTGGGAGTTCTTGTCTAGGTGTTGATAAATTAAACTAGGCATCTCCTTTGACTAAGATGGATGGCAAGCTTAAATGATATCCACTGCACAAATGGCTGATTTGTGTATTCTTCCATTCAGGATTAGGCTAATAAGATGTTCATTTATGGATCTATTACTCAGCCATTTAACTGTATAAAATGAGAGGAGTGGGTAAGTTCTGCAATCCAGGCATTGATTTCCCTCTTTTCAGGTCATGCAGAGGATTTGCTAAAGTACTGGAGTAGGATATATTGAAATATTCATTAAGCTGACACAGTACTTTAAAATATATTAGAAAAACTAGGTGTGTTGGAAAACTGCAGGTTTGAAGCAGCTGTACTCCCCCGACCACTTTGGGGACAGTGTCAGTGGACAGAAACAAAGAGGATCCAGTGCTAATAGACACTTTACTCTTCCCTTCCCAGCCTAGTCCACACATTGCTGATGCTGCGACCAGGAATTCACACCCGCCCAGAGTTTAGGCTAACAGCTTTATTCCAGGGATGCTGCAAGCCAGCAGACTCCTTCTCCCTGGCTTCAGAAGGCTATTGACCAGGTTTTAGCTCATCATCTATGCTGGTCACTCAAGGAACAGCTTACCACACAGGATTTTAGTATCACTGCTCAGCATTAGAGACAAGGCGATGATTATTCCCCAACTTTTATCAGCATTTTATTGTTCTGCTCAACTTTAAACATAAGTTTGAAAGAGCGCTTTTAATAACGCTCAGTGACAGGAAACAGGAGTGCACAGAAGAGTTCTTAATTTATGCTTCATCTGCCAGGTCACAGTTAATTTAACAGATCCCAACATTCACACAACAAATTATCCCTCCAGAAAACTGAGCTGGTGCCAGGATACAACTGCTTTAATATACCTACTGTGTAATGGAAGCACATCTCTATACACATATTGTCTTTTACTTTATATTAACAGAAAGTTTTATGTATACCCTCATTCTATTTCTTCCAAGTAATCTGTCATTCCACAAAGTTATTAAAAAACACAGAGCCTGAAAGATGTACATTTTCATCTAGTGCAACATTTTCTTTCCTGCCTGCTAAAGGTAATAGATGAAACTTTGCAAGGGGTCAGCTGAAGAACACAGCAGCTCACTCATCCTGGTGCCAAGCACAAAAGACTCTGTCACTACTAAATACCTTTGGCAGCAGGTTGTGCAAGATTTTGCAGCAGAAGGAACCAAGAGCATCTGCTGCCGGTTCCTTTGACTCAGCTTTCCTGTGGCAGGCTACAAATATACCCGTAAGTTCTGCAGGGTTACATCTGTTGTCCGATATAAAGACAGGAGTAAATTGGTAAATTGAAGCTTTCTCAACTGCAGCGGGAAGAGCAGCGTGTGAGCAGGAGATGGTGGCTTTGCCTCATTTGCCCTCTCAGTCCTACCTCGCAGGGAGGGGAAGGCAGCCACAGGTACCAGTCACCCCTCCTGGCCCATGACAGGCAAAGAGCCACTGTGGGAAAAGCCGACTCGTTGTGAGGCTGCCCAAGTGCCAAGGGAGAAGGCAGAGACGGGAGGATTCTTACCCACTCGGGAAGGTGGTTCCTGCTTCTGCAAACTCGATGCTTGGGCTGAACTGCAATCAAATTGCTCTCTGCTGTGTAGCCAGGGAACTTCATACATGTCTGCTGAGCAAAGACAGCAACCCAGGTGAGGGGAAGCAGGCACAGACAACAGGTCCTTGTATTAGCAAGAATGGTTTCCATCTGCTTATGTCCCAGGGCTCGGAAAGCGCCTTTGGGCTGTTCTTGCAGCACCAGCAGCAAATAACATAAGAAATCTCCTGTTGCTGTAGACTGGCACTTGTTTCTAGATGTTCAGGTGTCCCTCATTTAAATCCAGCCAGCTGAAGGCAGATCTCACAGATGCAATAGCCCCTTTCAGGAAGGTCTTCTAAAAACTATTTCCATAGCACTTCTACACATTTGATCTTTTCTATCGCACTTGCTTTCAAAAACAGTTTGGCCCACCGAACTGTGGCCAAAGAAAAGACCAGCCCATCCATACCTTTTGTTGTTGTTGTTGTTTATATCATGTGTTTAGGAAAGTATCTGTTTTACTGCAGGATAATATGCCCATTTTATATACTGCTGTCTTTCTAATTACTCTCCTACTGAGATTCTGTGCTAATTCACCACAGCGCTGCTTCAGGCACAATCTTCATCTTTTCCAGGTATAGCTTGCTTCATTTTCTGAGTGATCAGCTACCTTACTCATAAGGCAGGCACTCCAAATTCACAGTTGGGCACAAAACCCCCCTTTTTTTTTTTTTTTTAACTCTAACTAGTACTAATATCTCTCATAACTGCTGCTATAGTTTCCCCCCTACAGTTGTTAATTATATTAAAAGGTATTGGATATGTAATTTCCTTTAATAATGTAAAAACACTGGTTGCTTCCTTTCCTTGTAAGATTAGGTACAACACAGCAGTGATTAATGTCGTGAGTTTTAATAGGTAGCCAGAGAAATCCTAATTTACACCTTAACTGAAAGACATCAGCTTTTAGCTTTTTTGGGGACAACTTCTTTTGGGAGCCACAATTATTCAGCATGTGTCATCATTACATTAATCAATACATGTTTTGTCTTTCACAAATTTGCCTAATTGCTTTTCTCATTTAGACAGCCCTGGAGTCATTTGCTAATGAATATCGTCACGCACTAATATGGCATGGAGGATTTGCACGTGGCATTCTCAGCAGATTTAAAAGGAGAAGGGAAAAGATGTTAACCCAGTCATTACAGGTGCTGGTGTTATTCCCAAGTTATTAGCACATAATTATTGTATAGTTGCCTGGAAATTAAAGACCGGACACACTTTCCATCAACCCACTGCTCTTTGCCCCATTGCCTACTTCACCTAAGTAGTAACACATATATAACAGACTGGATAGGGTAAAAATTCTCTATTTCCTGCTCAATGCATGGGCTTGCTCAACACGTGGCCTTTGTGAGCGCATGGCAAGTTACAGAGAGAGTCCAGAGGCAGGACAATTTCTGCAGTTCTTTTGAGTGTTCAGATCAGAAGAGTAAGGGAAACCTCCTCTCCCACACTAGGTTAAGAGAGCCTTGAAGCAGATTGGCCAGGGTCAGGGAGATTTTGCTCCACACAGCAGTTTATGGAAGCTTACAGGTGGCTCTTAACTCCCTTTGTCCATGCAGCAGCTACGGACATCCTCATTCCCCCCAGCCCTTTGCTATGAAGCCTTTGTCAGTAAGAGAGATAGTTTTAAGCAAAGTCTTGTAGTGAGACAGAAATAAGTGACTTTTGGGAAATGGGCCTTACTTCCCTCAAAAACAGACAAGGAGCATCACCCCTTTGACATCAAGAACAAGGCTAAATGCTCACAGCAAACCTGCTTTGTGCCCTGGACAAGCAAAGTCGGGGCAGCACAGCCCACTTACCTGTTAGCAAAGGGCACAGCTCCCATGGGAGGGCTGCACTTGCATCCTGCTATTCTCTGCATTTCTTGTCAGCCCTTCACCAGCAATTTCCAACCAGGAGAGCCCTTCCAGGCTCCCAAGAGGGCAGCTCAGCCTCACTGATGTAACCTTCAGCTCCTGCCCTCCCAGCCCCTCCTGGTTAACTAGCACCAGCTGTGGGTCATTTCATTTTCTTTCCTTCTCAGCTTCTCTCTATCAGGGGATAATTATTCCTGCCAGAGTCTTTCAGTAATCAGCTCCTGTGATAAATGTTTTCAGGTGGTTTAATAAATATTTGGTTATATAAAACCTATTCTACACAGGAACATGTTCAATATCTGAAATTCTGGTGCATGTTTGAGCATTTAGGCATTCAGAGGGATACACATAGGAGATAAATTATCTTTACTGTTTTTTTTTTTTTTTTTTAAATCTCTTTGACAAAATAAAAAGAGATCAAAAGAGTTTCAGATCTCTTTTTACTTCTCTCATGCCCCCTCCACCTCCAGAAATATCAAGATCTTGTCTTTCCTGCTTGTTTTCTGAGATGTCCTTGGAGGAGGATGGAAGCAGAGCAAAACTTAAGCAGGCCCTCAGTGAACCAGCAGAGTGCTAAATACTAGGAAAAGCTGAATGGTAGGAATCCTTTCTTGACTACCTATTAGCTACTTGCTTTAATAAACCTTCACAGAAGCAGTTGTAGCTGAGAAAGTCTTACACCCTGCAGTGTCTCCTGCCTGCCCCTCCTGTGTTGATTTCTGAAGAAGCACTCTGTTAGAGGGTCTTTCTTACATGAAAGCACATCTATATTCTCAGTTCATTACAATGCTTGCTGATAACTGCTTGTAATTGATAGAAAATAAGTGTTATATAGGCTTTTAACCCAGAAGGTAACAGTTCTGTTGGAACGTAAAAAGCTTTCAGCCTTGGAGCAGGGTGCTCACTCCTCCCAGGTTTACAAGCTTAGTTTATAACCTCTACCAGGAGGGCAATAAGTAAGAGGAGAGCAGGAGAGCAGAAAGACAGCTCAGGAGGCTCTGCAGATCAGAGGGACACTAACTGCACACATAAATGGGCATGACTTATGACTAGCATTTGGTTCCCTTTCAGAAAAGGACAAGGGTAGCTGAAGGTAGAACTAGTGCAATTCTTCCTGCCTCCACACAAAGCCTAGTGTTGAACAAAACAGTTTGGTGTTACTATAGACTGTGCTTCCCTCCCTCTCTTCATAGTGATGAAACAAGTTACAGACAGGCAATAAATATCCTCTACATGAGTCAGGAGTATTACTACCTAGTTCTGGAGTGCTTTGGCCCAAAGCAGCACGTCTAATTTGGAGCAAAACCATGTAACCTGGAGCAATGCTGCCTAATTCTGGAGTGCCATCTGCTGGCATGCTATTAGCTGTCACACTCGCAGCCACCATCCCCAGAGTCTTCCAGCTGTGCAGAGTGTCATCCAGGTTAAGCGTGATGGACAGAATCCAAATTTGTAAAGGAGGGGAAAAAAAAACAAAACTGTTTAAAAATAGTCTTAAAAATGACGCTGAGAATTTCTGCATCTCATACTCAGGCTGCAGAAGGAAACAGGCAGCCATTTATTTTAAGCGTATGCTTAAGTTTTCCTACCACTGATGCAGAGACCCAGAGGCCTTACTGTGCTTTTTTAGAGGGCACAAATGATACAAAGCTTTACAAGATGCTTTAATAGGAAGTGTCTGAAATGACAAATTAAGAGGAAGAGTGTTTGTGACACTGATAAAGGGAAAGTTTAAAGCTTGTATTTAGATAAATTGGCTGGAAAATTTGATCCACACAGTCTTTCAAATATGATTATACAAATATCATTTGCATAAATATTATAATTAAAATTCTGCTTATGGCATAATAAAAAGGGAAAATAGTATTAAATGATCAAGGCATTTGAATGTTTGAAATATCACTGTGTGATGTTTCATGCTATCCCTTAAATAAGTAATTTATTGCAAAACCTATCAAAGCAAAAGGAAATTAAGTCAGATAGGGGTATTCTTTTATTCTGCAGTTCTGTTTCGCAGAGGATATCGTTACTTTCTGATCATACTTGATTTATTCCACGGTACCAACTCAAAATAACTATAATACTGGATTTGCTTTAGAGCTGTGACACTTAAGCGGTTGCTGTCTTCAGTGCAGGCTGGTAAGTAACTCATGATAACAAAGGCCAATAACATGTACCCTTAGACGGAGCCCCAGCACACAGTGCCTCTTACGCTGCCCTGAGGAGAGGCTGGGCACAGATTCGAGGTCTGAGTTGTAGAGGTCCCTTCCAACCTCAACTATTCTGTGATTCTGCAAAATGGATTTGGAAATGCCTTGGAAAACCACTCTAGCTCTCACCCCCTACCCCTTCCAACAAGCAAAGACATAAACAATGTCCCCCTCCCCCCAAAAATTTAAGAACACTTTGGCGAATCATTTAAGCTAAACTACGAACTGCTGCAAGGTGTGTTGACCTTTCCATAAAGAAGATCCTGCAAAGCCTCTGCCTTTTTCACCATCAGGTGAATGAACAATGCAGTCTCAATCCTAATGTCGTTTCCACTACTGAAAATTTGTGACATCAATAAAATCCTGTTTTGTCAGTACAAATGGAATTTTAAATTGAATTCTTATCAAATTAGCCTTTCATCAAGGTCATGCAATATTGTGTGAATAACCTTTTCAGAAGCTGTGTACATGCCTGCTGCCGGAGGTGAAAATGAGACAAATTCTAATGAGATTACTCAGCTGGAACACTCAATAACATGCTATGGAGTACTCAGAGGTGACATTAGGTTTAGAAATAATTTAAGTAAATGGATATACCGATGTTCAAAGCACAGTGCTATGTCTCCCCCCCAATACACCTGACTATAAATATAAGCCCTCACAACACCTACCCCTTGGTTATTCAACAGCCAGAGAGGTACTATTATGTCTCCAACAAGCCTGATCCAAATAACGTATTTTCTGAAGGGAACTGGGATGAACTGTAAATGTATTTCCTCTGCTGGTTCCATGTGGATTCTCCTTCATTTCAGATGACTTGTATTTTGCAGCATTAGTGACTGGAAGGATTCCCTATTAGCCTTGGATCTAATCAGCAGATTGCAAGAGCATCCCTTTCTGCCGCTGCTGGAAGCTGAGCATTAGCCCAAAGGGATGGAGAGGGAGCGGAGGCTCCGGAACAGGGGAACAGCTTCACTCCCAAACCAGCGGCCCAGCTCTTGCCGCCTGCTCTGTGCTGGGAGCGGGAGGTGCCCTGGCCCGCACGACCCGCAGTAAACAGCCGCGTGGCTGTTCGGGAAGGGCCGTCACGTCGGCTCCCGCCTCCATCTACCCGGGCGCAGAGGAGATCAACTCTCAGGAAGCACCATTCAGCAGAAGTCATGTGAGAATCTGTTCTTGCCAACATAAAACAACCCTAAAAAAGTTTAATTACAGCTGTTACCCCTTCTGATAATGTCTTCTTGCAATCAGACGTGGATTTGATCATCACTAAGGAACCAAACATACAACTGTCTAAAAATTTCATTCCAAATAACAAAACAGACACATAATTTCCAAAAAGTACTTCAGCAAACATAATGGAAAAGATAATGATAATTAGACTGGTATTTTATGCCATAATATTCTTGAATGCCTAAAGAAATAAAATGTTTTCAGCAAAAGATAACTGAAAAGATTATTTGGCTTATCTAAAGCAATTTTTTTTCTAAGCCTCACCACATCTGTTTCAAGAAGTCATGAAAATATATATATGCAATGCTATAGATTCAAAATAATATTTATCACTTTGAGAAAGAGGTAGATAACAATCTGTCGTTTTGTTCATGATGGAGTCCCTTTGGCAGAAAACGGACATGATGGCTTTTTATCAGACCTATGGAGAAGTGAAAGGATTGAGCAAGTCCAGGAAAACTGAGCAAGTCCAGGCAACCTACAAAGCTACAGGAACTGGATGCTAAACAGACAGAAAAGACAACATACTTTGGCAATAAGCTCTGTGTGTGCAGCAGGGCTCTGTTCTTGCAAAATGGAGTATTTGCTCATGCAGGTACCACGTTGATCTAAAGATCTTGCTCTGACATTTCACTGCAAACACTCTCAATTTGTTCTTTGTTGCTAAGTTACATGTTTACCTGTTCCCTGACTGGATGACTTCAACATAGCATGCAGGGGGATTTTTGCACTCAGATACAGACTTATATATTCACTTTTGGTGACTATTCAAACTTCCAAGTTGAGCATTTGTTTTTCGTGTGGGCTCCTGCTATCAAGCTCTGCTGATCGAACCTTTGTAGGAAAGACAGGTCTAATTGAAAGCTCCTTTTCTATCTGGGACAAGTGAAAAAATCCTGGTTTTAGTCACAACGGCACAAATGATGCTAACTGAGCATGTAGAGCACAAATGTCATTGACAAAGCTGTCAGAAGAGCAACATTTCTTCTGAGGTATATTCTGAGATTTTCAAAATTGGCCTTAATTTCAAATCAGAACAAAACCCGAAGGTCTCCAACTTCCATCTTTATTCTTCCCTTCTATCTCCCCTCCCAAAATGTTTCAGGACCAGGGAAATGGAATCACTCCATTTGCTACTGCCCACTTCTACGTTGTGTTATGACATTTATACTTGCAGGCTTTCTAAATAAAATAAGGCACACCTGATTTCTTTCCTGGTAGAATAACTGCAGGATTAAGTGTTTCAGCTTTGCTGGAGCTGCATTATCTTTTTTTCTTCTGCAGCCAGCTCTGGACTGCCTCCTCAGCCAGTTTAGCATCATGAAAATCACATTCATTCTTATAATGCTTTTGTTGGAAGAAATTGCTACAGAGGTCTGTTTTTCTGCTTCTCTGCAAGATGGGGCAGAAAATGGAAATTTTCCTCTGACATAGATGATTCTGAAAAAGGAACATTCAATAATATGTAAGTGAGCAACAGATGGGGAGCGTGTCAGGATGGGTGAGGTCAACCACCTAAGAGCCAAGAAGGGCTCCAGGGCCGCTCAGGTCCTGCCCCTGCCTGCCAGAAGCGCTGGATGGTCCCTGATGTCCTCCCTTCTGCAGAGTCACAGGGCCCTAGCTCACAATCAGCACAAACTGCGCAGGGATGAGCCAGCATGAGCCTGGCT